GGCGCTCTGTGTTTTTGAGGGTCAAAACGTCATTCAGCGTTATGATTGAATTGAATTGACGTAGAAGTGCAGAGAGTCTTTACTGCATGCTTACACATCACAGCAGATAACAGTCAGGAGGATATTTTCTGGGCCAAAGGAAATGTCCCGAATGATAAATAGAATCAGTATCAGGATAATATTAATAATCAAGGCAGGTGTTTCTGTCTCTGTCCTTCCAGGAAAGGAGCAGATAAGAGGGACTTGAACAAAGAGGAGACTCGAAGCGACACAACAAGACGGCCTGTTGGTTCTGAAAGGAGATCAGTCATAATAATAATGTGTTATTGTTGGGGTATAAAACTGTGGCCCGATTCAAAGTCATCCTTTCTGTGAAGCAGACCGATGGTTTACATCGAGGTCTGTAACTTGTAATATCAACTGCCGAATCTTTTTAAGTGACAAATATTTCTCCTGTGCTTCTTTGATTGAAACAGTGTCCTGACTGCAGTTTTAAACTCTGATTCATTTACTCCGTTTCTCCTGCATTTATTCTACAGGAAATTACTACCAAACAACACAGGAAAGGTCTTTTTTTGTTTTTAGGGGTTTTGTTTTTGCCTTTCGTGTTTTGTGCAAAAGTGCACCAGCGGGTCAGGCCGAGTGCAAAACACCATGGAGGTTATTTGAGTCGTGATATGGGACAGTAATGATCGCATGGTGTCTGTGTGTGAGAGCGTGTGAGGTCTAATAAGTTTCACAGATAGCTGCAGGGTGAAGTCTGCTATGATTTATAGTGTGTGTGTGTGTGTGTGTAGTAGCAGGGTGTTTCATAGACAAAATTCCCTGCTGAGAAAAATACGTATGCATCGCTAAACAAGGCCTTGGGCCAGGAAGACAGGAAGAGGAGCAGCCCTTTGTTGTGGGGGTGGGAGAGCGTGTGTGCTGCATACGCAGTTATGTGTGGTGGGCCTTTCAAACCAGATGCTCTAAGAGGAAATATGACAGCACTGTTGATGAAGATGGGTGGAGAACACCGGCAGCTGACACAAATAACACACACTGAGTGGGTCGGAGGTCAGCGCTGTCACCACTGTGTGAAGGTCAAAGCTCTTGTAAACGTTAAAAAACATTTAGAGCTCCATAGAGATTTTTTTCTGAGTAAAGATTTCACACATTAAGTTTTTGGGAACATTTTTAACTTTAAAACCTTTGAATAGTTAAAGTATAATGTTGTCCTTTGATGAGCAGATTCAGCAGTGGAGGCTGTTGTATGGCCAGATAATAAATGATAATGTTACCTGTACATGTAGTAAATATAACCATACATTACACACCTAAACTCTACGCATGTTGAGCTTTAATAAAAAGGTTCTTTTGTTGTCACCTTTTTTAAATTGAATATATTGACTTGTTTCTTTCAGCCTTTCTTTATGCTTCTGCCACATGTGGACTGAAATATGACTCCCTTTGGAGTGACTCTCTATGGAGTCAGTCCCAACAGACTCCCATGTTAACATCTACAACTTTTACTCAGAAAATAAATGTGTTTACAGCCTGCTTAAATAACTGCCTCTGGATAGTTTCCTACTTCATAACAGCAACAGATACTTTTACAATTTACTTATTTGAATGTTTTTAAGGACAAAGTTAGGCTTGTGCTGCTTTGACTGAAAGTTGGATGGCGAGGAAGGCGAATGCAGCTGGAGCTGTCTGCCAGGCTTCACCTCAGTTAACTGGACTAACTCATGTGGACCAATAATATTGATTACTGTGCGGTTAATTGCACATTGTCTGTGCTCCAGTTTTGGTGTGCCAACATATGCTGCTACATTTACTGCAGAGGAAACCTGTGCAAACTTTTTTGCTGCAACGTTGTTTACAAATATTCAGATTTAT